AGTTTAAAAGGTTTACCATACAAAGATAGATTAAATAAAATTAATCTTTTAATACTGAAATTCAATGAAGTTTGTATAATGACTGGTCTAATACTATCTTGACTTTTCTTTTTTTTTTCTTCTTTTTTTTTCCTTTGACGTTTGATAAAATTTACAATAAGAAAGATTGTACACATATAATATATGGCCGGAGCAAGAAGAAAAGGTATATTGTCTTATCGCCAAGCCCCGTTTACATTGTTGCCTTCGGTTTATGTAACGAGTTAAAAATTACAAAATACAACACAATATATTACAAGTAGTAAATCGTATAATAAGATATATAAATAAACATTTTTTTTTAGTTATATATATATAAATATAAATATATATATATATATATATATATATATATATATATATATATATATATATATATATATATATATATATATATATATATATATATTATTTATAGATAAGAAATAAATCAAGACAAAAATAAGAGAGTCGTGATGACTTTTTCAGTTTAATTATTTTAGGTACTATTTTTAAAAGAAATTTTTAAAATCGAAGTTTTTTCCTAATAGAAAACGTTTAGATTCTTTTTTGAATTGTTCTAGGGAGAAGTTTAGAAGAGTTTTATTTTTAATAATATTTTTCAAAAAACTTTTCCATATAAATGGTCCACGGTATTGAATTTGAAATGAGCTGAGTTTTAAATAAGATCTTGGAATAACAAACATATCAACTGAAAATTTTGTGGGGTATTTATGAGTAATTTCAGTGAAGTAAAAGTGAAATATATTAGGAGACAAACCATGTTTTGATTTAAACATTAGAAGCATAACTTGGTATATATTAATTTTATAAACATTAAGTGCATTAAGTTCGCTTAGAAGAGATTCACCATTCGCAGTTCTGTTAACGCCAAATATAATCCTACATCCATGTTTTTGTTTGCTATAGATTTTTTTAAGTTTCCCATAATTAGTACTTCCCCTTGCAATATTGCAATAAGAAAGATAACAATGAATAAATGAAAAATATATAATTTTTAAAGAGTCAATATTAAGAAATGGTTTAACATTGAAATATTTTTGGAGATTTTGTTTTCAATAGATTTAATATGATATCTCCTTGATAAATTTTCATCTATAATCATTCCTAGAAAGTTAACAGTTGACTCTCTTTTAATAATTGTTTTATTCATAAAGAGATTGGGTAATTTTAGAGAAAGGTTATCTCCCTACGAGGTTTGTGGAACAAGATAAATTTAGTTTTCTCACCATTTAATGAAAGTTTATTATTTGTAATCCAGTCATTTATTTTTACTGATTCTTTGTTAGATATTCTAAACAGTTCTTTTATATTATTGTGTGAGTAAAAAAAATTCGAATTATCAGCAAACAAAATCACATTTAAAACTTTGTATCCTAAGTATAAATCATTAATATAGATTAAGAATAAGAGCGGCCCTAGAATTGATCCCTGGAGAACACCACAAGTTATAATATGATTTTCAGTTTCATTTGCTGTATATAATATGCATTGTTTTCTGTTTGACAGGTAACTTTTAAAACATAGTAAGTTATTATTAAGTATTCCATACAGTTCTAGTTTTTTTAAAAGAATATCGTGGTTTACAGTGTCAAATGCTTTTGACAAATCAATAAAAACTCCTAATGTATAGCAATCATTATTAAACCCATTGGATATATAATTTATTAGATCGACTACCGCATAATCAGGTGAATGATTCTTTTTGAACCCAAATTGTTTGTTACACATTATATTGTTCTCATTTAAATAAGTATTAAGTCTATCATAAATAATTCGTTCAAACAATTTTGAGAAACATGGTAAGACAGAAATAGGTCTATAATTAGACATAATCGTGTCATCGCCAGATTTAAAAATAGGTATGATTTTAGCAATTTTTAATTTCTCCGGTACAATACCGGATTCTAGTGAAAGGTTAAAAATAAAAACAGTGACGGTTCAATAATATCAAACACTGCTTTAACAACATTCACGTTAATATTATCTATGCCAGCGCATTTATTACTTTTTAGACAGCTGAATGCATTTCGCAACTCATTTATGTTTAATTTTACTTCTTTCATAGATGTATTGATTGATTTCATATAAGATTCAAAGTTTGAGGTGTTTTTTGGAATTTTATCCGCTAAAGTTGGGCAAATATCAAGAAAAATTTTATTGAGCTTTTTAACTATGACTTCTTTATTATAAATCATTTTCCCGTTAACTAATAGTTTTTGTGGCAAATTATTTTTTGGATATTTATTTTTACCGATTATCTGCTTAATCACGTTCCGCGTCTTTTGTGTGTTTCCGCGTGTTTTTTCCAACAACCTAGCATAATAATATTTTTTTTGCATGTTTCTTTGTTTTTTCAAACGTGTTTTTATAATTTTTGTATTTTATTTCATTTTTATATGTTTTATGTTTTAAATATTTTTCATAAAGTCTTTGTTTTCTCTTTGATGATTTGTATAAACCTTTGGTCATCCAACGGCTTAGAAGTGAATTAGGATTTTTATTTACAACTTTTTATAATCACCAGGATTTACAACTAAGTTATAATCACCAGTTAAGTACACGTGTTTCTTTGTAATGTTAACTTTGCTTAAGAAATTTTTCAAATAAGATTGAAATCTTTTAAAATTACCAGCTGGTTTTCTTTAAATAGAATTGATAATAATGTTTTTGGTTGCCTTATTATTTATTTCAATGCATAACGACTCGCAATCTATTTCGTTAACAATGAGATCATTGCGTAAAATAAAGTTTATAGATTTGTGAACATAAATACTTAAACCACCACCAACGCACAGTGGTTCAAGATCCTTAAAAAGTGGCAAAAAAGGAAAAAAATTTAAGTCTTTAGTTTGTAAACACAAATAACTTTTAATTATGGTAAGGCCAGATGCATAACAATTTAAAACTTTTTTTGAAGCTATTGCAAGGTTGTGTATTAATTCGAAGCACTTTATTAATGCTTTTTTTATGACGGAAAAAAAACGGAAATGTTCGATAAAATAGTCAGTTTTAGAAATTTATTTTTATGGAGACATAGTAATTAAAGTGTTAGTATTTTTTATTAATTTACTTAAATTGTGTCAATTCACAATGTAAATGAAAGATTTTTTTTAAAGATTATTAGGTTTAAGCCATTACTCAGCATGAAGAAAAATATTTGTAAAAAAATTTTTTTTTATTAGTAACACATTATTTATGGTACAAGAACAAAAATGTTCCACATAACTCCACGCTTATGTTAGTGTTTTTGAGTACTGTCAGCAATATACTATGAAATAAAATTTACCTGCTCCAATTTGCTCCAATCTAAAATAGAGCTTTTATGATTTACTTGCTAAATATTATAATCAGCGAGTATATGATAAAAGATTGGAGCAAATTGAAGAAAGTAAATTTTATTTAATTATTTTAAATATAAGCTCTTTCAAAAAAAGAGTATCAGCGTTACCTAATATTTTTAGTTTGTATATATATATATATATATATATATATATATATATATATATATATATATATATATATATATATATTTGCAAGAACAAACTATGATAAAATCAATTCTTAATCGACAAACACATCTTCCGGGCCTTCTTAGCAGCAAAATTTGAAATAACTTCTTCATAATTAACGTTAATGGCTAAATCTGATTCGATTGAAAGGATCATCAAGTAGCACAATCGCTCCTGGCCCATTGTGGAACGAAGATAATCTTTGATGATAGCTAACTTGCTGAAAGATCTTTCTCCTTCAGATGTTGAAACGGGCAATGTTAGAAAGATTCTAAGAGAAACACACACTTGCGGAAATATTGAATGCAGCCCCTTTGCATAAACTTCATTCAGAAGTTCGACAGGCTTTTCGCTGGCTAGAATATTTCTTCTTACGGAAAAAAAATGCCGAACTTCATCAGAAAATTCGTTTTTACATAAGTCTTTTGGGTAAAGTTTAGCCAGATTCTCAGCTTTTAAACCTAGTTCTTGGTCTGTTTGAGATTTCTGTAAAGACCAAAGGAAGGAAAACTTGCTACATTCCTCTTCTATTACTTTAAATCTTGATCTCATTTGACTAGTCAGATTGTCGAGTGCAACATTGAAGACATTACACTCAAAGTTTTTTGATGCTTCTTCGTGGTTGTAACCAGCAGTTTCATCTGAGATGATCTTTTTTAGCGTTCTCTTCACAGTAAACATTATTTTATCAAATTTCAAGTTCTTTGCAACTTCTGTTGCCTCAAAATCAGGTCCCAAGACAGACGGATTTGATCCAGATTCATCAAAAGGCCATTTAGAATCTTTACTTCATCATCGAGAAGACTCACGTTGTTAACTGCCATCAAACATTTAACCAAAAAGTAGTGAAAACAACAAATTCAAAAGAATTCATCCATTTAATGAGATAATGCACTTCATCACTACTTTCGCCTGGAAGGTCTAACTCTTTTAGACGATGTAATGATTTCAAGATTTCTCTTGGCTTTTTTGCTAGTGGCTTAACTGATTCAATCCTTGAACTCCATCGTGTAACAGAAAGTTTATGTAATGATTGGCCTGTCTCCTCCTGAAGAATTTTCCAACGAACTGGGCTGCTGCTGAACAGATTGTATAGCTTTTGAATATTTCCAAAACAGGATTTTGCATGAGCCGATGATTCAATAGCGTGTACTGCACATAAGTTCAAACTGTGAGCAGAGCAAGGAATGAAAATTGCTTGTGGATTATTCTGTCTTATCAAAGCTTGAACTCCATTGTAAATACCTGCTATATTAGCGCCGTTGTCGTAGAGTTGACCACGACAATTTTTTATGTCGAGCTCATTCTCTTCCAACACATTCAATATCAACTTTGTTATATCAGATCCCTTCTTCTTTTTAAGTTCTTCTAGCTTAAGGAATCTTTCTTTGACCTCCCACAGCTGATTATCATTGAAATGCAAAAAACGAAAGTTTGTCGGAATTTTGATCTGGCAACTCATTAGAGTCATTGATACCGATCTCAATATCATTGAACTATAAAGAAGTATTAAACAGAATTATTCTAATTATTTTTCCATGAACGTCACAAGATTAAAAAATAGTTTAACTACCTGCTTGCATTTATCTTCGATTTTTGTCCAACGAACGCAATCTAAAAGCGTTCGTTTGTTTTTGCTTTCGTTTTTTTTTCCGAATCATTGCTCTTTTTCTCCCAGCAGCTCCAGACAGCTGTTTCAATCGTGGAGGTCTTTGATTATTCATGCTAAAACTTATGACGATATAAAGAATTTTAACTTTTTAAATTTTAAAAATTAAAAACTTTATAATACTTTGGTGTTATTAATTGCAGAGAAAAAGTCAGTACAATTAAAATATCCACTGAAGATAAGTTTCTTGTCAAAATATAGTCGGAACAAAATGCAGGCGAGTCAAAAACATACATATGCACAAAAGTATCCACAGGGACGCAAGGTTTAAGCAAAAATAAGTTAAACTATCAGAAGTCAGGCTTTTACAAACGTTAAATAAGAAAAAAAAAATTTTAACGCTTTTTATTCTATCATGCGAACAAAAGGCCAATGAAAACGCGTGCGTTCAAATGGATAATGAAAACCTTGTAAAGTAATAATTATCCTATTTTAAATGCAAACAGAGTTTAAAAGGAGAAAGAAATTAATACACAAAAATTGCTTAATCTTTAAATACGTTATCAGCTAAATTTTTTATCATTTCAATAATTTTTTTTTAAGGCATGTGATGCCCCATAGACTGTGATGCCCGGGGCAAACTACTTCAATTGCCACCCTTCCTCTTGGCGGCCCTATATATATATATATATATATATATATATATATATATATATATATATATATATATATATATATATATATATATATATATATATATATATGTATGTACAAATATTTTATATTGTATTCTACAAAATAGAGTGCTCAATGTTCTTAAAAAAGCATAACTATAATAAATTAGTAGAAAATCACTTATTACATTTTTTTCATTTTGATAAGTCTTTATTGATGAAACACAGTGTAAAATATAAAAAAATTTGATTAGTAATTTTTTACTAATTTATATATACATATGGATTTTCAAAATACTTGTAGCTATTAAGTTATAATGTAAATGACAATAAGATTGTTAAACTATTGGTAACTTTTCGTGTGTTATGTAATAGATAATATATAAAAGTGAAAAGAATTGATATTCTTCAAAAAATTAAAGGACTAGGTTTCAATAAAGTTAATTTGCTGGAATCTTTGTTTAAAGAAGTTTTAAATGTTTATAATCTTCATGAAGACGGCTTCAATAAATCAGAGCTTACCAACTTAAAGAATAAGTTGTCTGTTTTTAAAGCAAAAGTGGAAATAAGTTAGAAAAGCATAATAGAAACTATGACAGGTTGATTTTAAAAGAGGGTGTTTGGCTACAGGTAAAGAAACAATAATATTTCTTAATAAATTTTTTTTTATGCACTCGTTTTATTTAATTAAGTTTCTATTCACAGGAGGAGTTTTTTCCAGATCTTGTTAAAAGAATTAAATCTAAAGAAGGTCCAGGTAGAAAAAATTAAGTTTGGGAAAATCTTGGTGAAAGAAGCAAATAAGCTAAAATTGCCCATTCGGCTGAAAACAATCACGAAGCATTGGCTTTAGCTTCTTTAAAAAGTGCTGCAACTGAATCCAACATTAATAAAAACAATTTTATCTTTATAGTAAAGAAGGCTTTGGACCCAGATAAAGCAAATGAAATTAGAAAAAACATGTCTATGCATGAACCTGTTAAAATGAAAGTTGAAGACGCTCTCAGCCTAAAAATTCAATGTGATCTGTCCGATGAACAATATCAGATAATCAGAAATAGCTCCCTATTACAAAATGCAAACATCTATCCGTCTCTTCATAAAATTTTAACTGAAAAAAAGAAATGCTATCCTGATAATATGATTTTTTCAGAAACATCTGCAGTTTGCTCCCTTCAATCTCTTTTTAATCACACACTGTGTAGAGTCTTGAGTCTAAATAGTTGCAACAAAATATTTTCTGAATTATCGGTTAAAGATATCAATCAACATGGAATTATCCATTTCAAAGGTGGTTTTGATGGAGCGTCTAGCCAGAGTCTGTATAAACAAAAATATTTAGATACAACTCTAGATGAAGTTATTAAAAATGAAGAGAGTATTTTCCAAACATCTATTGTGCCTCTTAAACTGACTGTTAATGATACAGTAATCTGGTACAACAAAAAACCATTTAGTACACATTTCTGCAGACCAGTATGTTTGCAGTACAAGAAGGAAACAAATGTGCTAATTAAAGAAGAAGAAGAACGATTACGGATTGAAATTCAGAAACTTGAACCATTTGTAGTAAGTTTAGAATCAAAACCGACTGAGTCATCTATGATGACAGCAATTATAAAGTATAATTTGGATTTGACTATGTTTGATGGTAAGGTTATTAATGCACTGACAAGTACTACCTCTTCTCAAAGCTGTAATGTATGTTCAGCAAAGCCAACGGAGATGAATGACATTAAATTGATTAGATCTAAACCTGTCAATAAAGAAGCTTTATTTTTTGGCCTTTCACCTCTTCACTGTTGGATAAGATGCTTTGAGTACATTCTTCACCTTAGATATAAATTGAAAATTCGGTCATTTTATGCTAAAACATCTGAGCAGAAAGAATCAGTTAAAGAAAGAAAAGCATTTATTCAAAAAAAGTTTAGGGAAGAACTAAGTCTTATTGTTGACATGCCAAAACAAGGTTTTGGAAACACTAATGATGGTAATACTGCCAGAAGAGCCTTTGAGAAATCGATTACCTTCTCTGAGATAACTGGTGTAGATGTTGACATCATTTCTAGACTTGAAACAATTTTAAAAGCAGTTTGTTTAGGATATGATTTAGATCCAAGCTCTTTTCAAAGTTATTGCAATGATACAACAGATAAAATTCTTTCTGAATATAATTGGTATGTTATTCCTCCAAGCGTTCACAAACTTTTAGAACATGGTTTACAGATTGCCAATGCATTAGAACTTCCCATTGGAGTTTATTCAGAAGAATCACTAGAGGCTCTTAACAAAGAGATTAGAAATGCAAGATTAAACCATTCATGCAAAATTTCAAGGATAAATGTTATGAAAAACTAATTTAACTATCTTATGATAAAGAGTGATCCAGTTATATCGAGCATTCAATTCACTAACCATAGATGTGAAAATGGGAAATTGCTCCCAATAGAAGTTCTTTCTCTTCTTAAACAGTCGTGATTTTTTTGAGAATTTTATTTTTTATAGATATATTTGCATCAAAAATTAAAATTTAAATTTAGAATAGTTATAATAGTAATTTTCAAAGTATATTCTAATTCTCAGAGTATAACTATTATATGCTCTTTGTTGAGGAATGATTTTTTTTTTTTTTTTTTTGAAAGTTTTTTCAATCATTGTTTTTAACAGAAGGGGAGGGGCCCGGTAATAATTATGACAAATTTGGATGGTAGTGTACCGAGTGATCACGCCTGATTACAAGTCGGAGAGAGTTAAAAAAAGATTTAAAAATAAATTATGTATTTATGCAAACTATTACTTGATTCGAGAAGTTAAATTTAAAAAAAAAAATCTGCTTGCGCGTATCAAATTTCTTACGTACGTATTTTTTAGATACGCGCACGTTTTGCTGGTTGTTGCGCGTAAAAATAATTTAAAATTACATAATTGATCTTTTGACTAAAAAAATAATAACTATTTCTTTAATACATATTAACATGCGATGGTTATATAATTTTTGCCGTTTTTTCTTCAATTTGAGTCACTGTGCAACGTGGGCTTGACGCAGTTGGTGAATTGACACGTAATTACTTAGCTCATAATTAGAATCTATTTCATTACTTTTCAACCACGTTTCCATGTGACTAATTATTTTAAAATCGTGATTTAGATCATGCAATAAGAAATTTAGATTATCAAAATTTTTTTTAATACTTCGAATGTTAAGATTGAAAATTGAAAAACTTTTATTTTTTATTTTACTAAGAAACTGAGTAGATTCAAATATTAAATAATACTCACTTTCAAATTTTTTTTGAATGAAATAGTCTCATCACACTCAGTATTAGAATTAAGTCGAAGATTATCATCCATTTTTAAAAAAGTAAAATATACTAATCATGAAAATAAGATATTAAAATATTAGGATTATATATTTATACTTTTCTTTGCAGCCCAATTGCGTATGATAAGTTAATCGTATGAAATACTTGCAAATTTTCCTGCCGCTCGTTCCATTTTCATTTGTTCTTTCAGCACCTTCCTAATTTGCAATGTCTCAGCGCAGAAATCTTAATTTATATAGATATTTTTTCCTATTAGGTTAGGGGATTTTTTTAAAATATTTACTTTATCTTTTAAGTCTAGAAGCTTAATGATTATAGTTCTTGGTCTAAGTGAATCCTTATGACCAGTTCTATGTGTCCTTTCAATTTTAATATCTTTTAGACCTAAACAATTTTCATAAATGTTTTTACCTTTGTTTCACTGTCATTCCAACTTTCACCTTCGCTTTCTTTAATTCCGTCGATTCTCAGATTATTCCGCCGGGATCGATCCTCTATCTCTCTTAATTTGTTGGTAATTTTAGAAAATGCAGACTTTAATTTTACAAATCCCAATTAGTAATTAGGAATTTTTTTGTCAGTAATTGAATTACTGCAATAGACTTGAAATTTTTTTTTTGCAATGTTTATGCTTTAGGTACTTTAAGTGAATGGACAGAATGGGAAGAATGTTCTTCAACTTGTAATATGCTTTTTTCTGTACCGCAACAAAAAAGAACTCGAAATTGTTTAGGCAGAGGTAGTATTTGTAAAGAAGAATCCTTAGAGCAATTTCAAAATTGTAATGAATTGGTTTTTTGTACAGGTATATAAGTTATTTTTCTATTTAGTTATCATATAAGTTAATTTTTTAAAATTTTGTGAACTTCAAAATGTTGTTACTATATTTGGTTTATTGTTTTGCCATCTCTAATCATTTTCTAATCTCTAATCAAAAAATAATTAAATAATCAATTGAAAAAATGTTAAAATAATTTTGTTTACAGTTAAATATTTGTTGTGTTTATGTTATATTGTTTAAGCACCGGCGTTACCGCAATGCGTGTATGCGGTAAGTTTCGACAGCGATTTTTAGAATCTATTATTTTAATATATTTTATGAAAAGTAAAATTTCCTCTGAAACTAATAAAAATTTAATAATTGCGTATTGATTTCACCAAATTCAATTTAATTACAGCAAATAAGAAAAATTCTCTTTATTAACTATCAATTATCTGTATTAAAGCAGACTAATTGCTATTACGAAAAATATTTTTTGTAAATGCAATGCATTTTAGTGAAACTGCACCGAGCAGTGAACGCTTTAGGGATGAATAATAAGCTAAAAAGAGTTTAGCAGTGTGAAATAAAAGTACAAAAGGACAGACGTCCAGTAGAAAACAAAGAGCCTCAAAGTGGAAAAATATTTAAAACTGATATAAGTAAAATGTAGTAAAAAATAAATAAGAATAATAAAAAAAAGTCAAGGAAAGTCATTGGTTGTTGTGCTACTAAATTGTTGTTAGAGTCCAGCGTAAATGTGATGTATTAATAGAATTGGTAATGGAGTAGAGTTATTCGTTTTATAAGTAGTCACCATGTGGTTTATATTATTAGGATAATAAATATACATTAAAGA